AGAAATAAAGACTGGTGTCAGGCAAATTTTCTTTCACCCTCTCCTCCCCGTGATCGCCTGGACTATAAAGACGTCAACATCAGAAGGAAGGCACGGGGTACAATGGACAGCGAGGATGCAGCTGGGCGATATACACTTAGCAGATAATCTGGCTCTTCTATAGCACACGCAACAACAAATGCAGGAGAAGACGACCAGCGTAGCAGTAGCCTCAGCAGCAGTACGTTTCAACATATACAAAGGTTAAATCAAGATTCTCTCATACAATACAACATGCACCAGTCGATTCAAATTTGACGGAGAAGGTTTTGAGGATGTGGAAAACAAACTGCCTCACAAGGCAAGCCCTCACATTGAATTCTTGAAGGCCAAGGTAAAAGAAAAAGACCAAAGAACACATTGCGCTGAGAAATGGAGACAGACATGTGAAGATTGAACAAAAATTAGATAGAACTAGAATGAAGGGCCTAGGACAGAGTGGATTGCAGAATGCTGGTTGGCGGCATATGCTCCATTGGGGGTAACAGTCTTAAGTAATTAGGTATAAGATTAATGTAACTTTATTGCGTGATTTAATCAAATCAATTGTCATCTGAAAGAAATATTTATGTAATCGATCAGTTGTTAGAAATAACATTAAATTGATTTTTTTTGAATATGTTATAATTTTCTATCGCGTTTGTATACTTAATTTAAGCAAACTAATCTTTTAAATGTAGGTATTAATGGCAAAATATGATCGATTTTCGGAAGGTTTATTGGTGAAATGGGGATACTTGTATTCAATATTAGATTTTTTTGCATGTTGGCAAGTGGGCAAAACATAATGCGTTTGCCTGATCGACTTTCTTGGTGTGCCCATTTTGTGAATGGAACAATGTTTCCAAGGATCTGTGGTTGTCTGTATTCGTTTTCATTCTCAAACTTCGTATATTGTTCGTCCTGATAACCGTTACTAGATAACGCTTCAACGGTGTATAAATCAGTAGGCGAATACGAAGTGTTTATTATGTTTATTATTGAACCACTCAGAGATCCAAAATTACACGCACGTTAAGCAAGCATAAACGAGTAGTGTCAAAAGGCAAGCGAGTGAGTGTGCGAGTCGAATGAGCGAGCAAGAGAGTGATTGAGTCAATGAACGAGTGTGCGAGTCGACCACTCAGTGCACAAGATTAAAATGTACATATATACACAAATGGAAACGAAACATCGAATCAATTAGGCGAATAATAGTAAGGCTAGCAGAATGAATATCTGCATAGGCAGTAAGCGAAGCCTAAGGTTGAAAGTGAGAACGCTGTATCTCTCAAATCGGAGGACCACGGCTCTTCATTCTCGCTTCATCCAACAGGTGAGGCCTCCACACTTAACATCAAACACGAATCACGGCCATACGACCAACCGTTCAAGAGTTATGAAGGTTAAGTCGGTTGACCGTGAGAACGCTGTATCTCCCAAATCGGAGGACCACGGCTCTTTATTCTCGCTTCATCCAACAGGTGAGGCCTCCACACTTAAAAAAACGGACACTGTAATAACATTCAATAAAAATTATTGAAACAATCGAATTCCTTATTTTCGGTGTCTTCTGAGCAGATCTTCCCAACTCTACATGCTGAACATCTAACTAGGTTTCTCTTGTAATAAATGGATACAAAGCTCAATAAATTTGTGTATTGGCTTGTCGAAGAACTTTTACTATGTGCACTGATACTGGATAAACCACTTTCTTTTATGTTCTACAAGGCGTTAAGGAATTGTAGTTTCCCGTCCAGTTCCTCCGCACACGTAAACCTGATTGCTGAGCTTATACCGGTAAATTGTTCTATGAGTTCTTCGTTTCCAATGTTCTGAACAAAGATAACGAAAGTTTTATTAATGTGATGGCAATTATTCACTAAAACTATCATTCTATGGTTTCCTCAAACAAAGCTAGCAAATAAGTTATTTGCGCAGGTATAACATAGGATAAAAACTAATAAGAAATTGTACTTAACAATCATTTTTGTCGAAAACAAGTATGATAGACGTTAATAAAGCTGCATATAAAATAAACAATGTAAAAAAGTTCTTTTATCAATTAAATAATATATACTATGTGATTCACTGACTGTATTTTCCATAGTGTACAAAAATTTAAATAGTAATAATTTCAGGTTATCAGGTTAACATCAAAACGTATCAAATAATGTTATCGCCAAATTCTAATGAATAGCCGTTGACAGATTTTACTATCCTCCTGTCTCTATCCTTTGAAGAAGAATTTTGACAAATAATTTGATTCTGTTGTCTAGTACAATCAATTATCTGTATCAACTCCCATAAAGTAAACATAGACAATTAAGAACAAATAAACATTCTGTACATAATTCACCGTCCATGTTTTGATTTAATAACACAATATATTAGCTAAAAGAGCAAAAAAGCTTGCCTTTGAAATAACTGGATAAACGATTTTTTGCCTAAATGTGATTATTACGACGAATAATTTTTTTCCGTTCATATTACTTCAATTATTTTTTAATTTACATACATCACAATAATAGATGGCATAACTTATCATAGTTAATCAAACCTATCGATACGATTTTGTATGTAATGGTCGTCATCATAAAAATAATGAACAAAATATTATCAAATCAACATTCCACATACAAAATTGATGGACAACTATTTTCGTGATTGAATACGGCCATAGATTATTTGATTTTCTGTTAGATTTTGTGATCACTTACGATTATTCTGAATCACAAATGATTGAAAGTTTTCCCTTAAATATAAATCGAATCAACATGTTCATGAGGACTCAGTGACCATGATCCCTACCAGAAAAAGCATTTTAATGGTTACTATCCCTTTTCTGAAACTGAATATAAAATTCAGGAACTCAGAAAAACTTAGTGTTCCAGGAATTTAAAACAACAAAATATCTCTGGTGATATGGTAACAACTGTGAACTAGAAACATATAACAAAGATAGAAAGTTACAAGCTCAAGTAGCCGAATATATGATGGTAAAATTCATCCAACTAATTGTTGGACGGCTTCGAGAAGCACGATTGAGCCTCCAGAGGCTCTAAATGAGCCGAAGAAATTCCACTCAAAACAGAACCTGATGGAACTTTCTATAATATCATCCTAGTATGCTACGATTGGACGGGTGCATAACTTGCTTCCTTACGGATTAGCTAAATTATAATGATGTTATAGACAACGCTAAGAACTATGAACGTCATGTTTTTCGGTACGTTCTTGATTATTACCTAATAATCACTTCCTGTGCCTCTTTCATCTTCTGATTTGCAACTGTATGGTTCCACAAGTTCGAGTGCCGTTAGTCATATAACATATTCTACTGTAATCAGGTGGAGGACGCAACAATATCAGCTTGAAAAAAGAAATCGTGGGATGGATTGTATGAAACAATATTATTTTCGAGATCCCTAGAAACAATAAACGTGTTTGCACAACTACAAATGATTTTGGGTCATATTGTGCAACATTCTCAACCACCGATTATGAATGTGTCGAAAAAATCAACCAGGCAGTCAACATATTTTTAAATAATTAAATCTGAAGGCCAATAACTCCATGGTATGGGCATTGTTCATCACCTTTCTATATCTGTCACTATTCCCCCAGTTCAACAGTTAATAACTTTGTAGACTGATACTATGTTCCGGTTTGGTAGCCCTTAGATATGGTAAACGAAAATGTAAGCGTCGTCAATAGACATTATGATGTTAGATGGGATATTCAGTGACGATTTAAAGTGTTTAGGTACAAAGGACAGCCATTTCAGTAACGAATATTTTGCTTATTTATTTAATGATATAAACATTATTACAAAGAGGCACAATATATTTATTCACTACAATTCGTCATCCAACTTGTGTGAGGGCTAGAATACTGACTGGGCGCTATAAAAACTGACTTCGAAGAGACAGGATATTGGAAATGGACAAGGGATTATTTCTAGATTTGAATACGTCCTTTACTTTGTTAACAATAAATAAGAAACAATACAGAATTTTTTGGGTACAATGAAAATCATAATTGGTCTGAATATGTCAATGTCTGGTTATTCTTCATCAAAGTTGATTTATGTATCCTGTCACTGCACTAATTCACCATGACGAAGAACAACCAGACATTGATATATTTATACCTATTATGATTTTGATTGCACCCAAAATATTCTGCGTTGTTTTATTTTTACTGTTTAAACTTGTGTTAATTTAACTCAACCTAGGAATTGATACCTAATAATACAAGCCAGATCTTCAGAGTGAACAATTTTTACAAATACATCATTAGTTTTATTTGACGAATCTACAAAAATTCTCCATTTATTTAAAATCATTAAGTCAAACCTCAGTAATGATATCTACAAAGTAACTCAATGGTTTCCTTTTAATTACTCAAGTGTCACTACAGGTAATTTTGGCTTAAAATAGTTATTTGCTCTTACGTGTTCACTATACCAAAATGTACTGATCAATTAACTTTTCTGTTTTAAACATCTATTCATTAAACTTGTTTTAAAGAACAGTAATAATCAGTTTAACGCGTAAATTGTTTTCGTGTTAATAAAAACGTTTGTATTTTGCCAAAACAAAAATTATTTGAATGAATTCGTACTTTGGTATTTGTCAAATCCAATGGAGTTGTATACATTTCACAACAATTTTTGTTGATGTTTCATGTTCTAATAACAGTTTTATTGATGTCTTTTTTAAATAAAAATAACTGAGAGATTGACTAGAAATACATATAATATTACATATATATAATTACATCATATAATTGTGTGAAAGTATTTATTTAGCAAGTATTAAATACGCATTTTATTTACAAACCGAAAAAAGGATTTATTAGTATTACTATTTTCATCGCAATATATTTAAAAAACCTATTCTATCGTTAAGCGGTTCAGTGAACATTCTTGATTACTTCATTGAACATTGTACAGACAAATAAGAAGAAAATCAAACAAAATGGTGTCTGCAGCAAAAATCATATATCTTGTTGCCATAGTCACAGCTGTTGTATGTGCTGTCATAGCATTAGCAATAAGTCCATTTATGAAAAGTGAGTGAATTAAACAAATTCTTTAATGAAAGTCAGTCGTATACTTTCGATGTATTTCTGTTGAACTATTCAACTGTTTTTTTTTAATTTTTTGTTAAATAAGTATATAAAACGTTTTTTACTAATAGCGTTAAATGAAATTAGGTGATTACTTTCATATAATTGAATGCTCATTCAATAATTAGTATACGTATAATAGATTAACTTTTATAACAAACTAATAAATACGGAACTATTCTTCATGTCAACAACTTCTCAACAATATTTCTGGTATTCAATATTCAACCTATATCTGATAACGGGGCTTATAAAGAGACTTAAAGTGTGTATTTGTAAGTGAACTTTCGGCACATTGACGAATTATTACATTTTTTAGCGTCAATCTGTTATAAACATTAAATTGATTGATGGGTCAGTACTGAATACCATATTTTTAATATTAAACAGGCCTATGTAGTTATAATCTGTTGTACATAATCCCCGATTTGATCAATTACATATTATGATACAGTTTTGCATCACAAGATAAAAACAAGGAATTTATTAACATTCATTATTTAGCATAAAATTTAATTCATCAGTAACAGTAAATAAAAGTTTGACAATTTGAAAACATCTCTTTGTTCTTCAACGAAGGTACATAAAACGAAATCTGATACTAATTGTACGATCCATCAGCTAACCGAAACTAAATTATACCTAAACACTAAAAAACGGATTTCAAATGTTTAATTATCTATGGTTATTTCTCAAGAGTTCATAGTCGCGAAATTAATCAACAATAAACAGAATGATTCTTTTCTCTTGTTAGGGATGAAATTAAACAGATCTATAATAAAGGTTTCAATAAACTTTCTTAAGGTTACTATTTAAACTCTATTATTCAAACAAACACAACTGGATTATGATTGGTTGAAGAAACAACTAACTTCAATACTAAATTCATTTAGTATTGTTTCTTTGAATCTACCCATCGATGTGTTAGGACTGCAACTGTTTAATTCACAAACATGGTAAGGTTGTATCGAGGCAATACGCACAGTATGCACATATGCCAATTAGAGACTGACCAGTTGCAGTCCTAACACACCGATGGGAGGATTCAAACAAACAATACTGAATGAATTTAAACTTCACCCCATCGCACAAGCGATTGGCTATCAGGAGTCAGTGGCCGAGTGGGTAACGCGATGGCGTTTGAAACGAAAGGTACTGGGTTATAGTCCCAAGGTGAATATCAACTCTGAGATGCGGGTACATCCAGCTGACGATTCTCAAATAGGACGAAACGCGCGTCCTGGATTCCACTACTAGCCACTATCAATCTCTGCTTACCATAATTTCAATACTATTTGAAGTGATAACAAGGTATTTTTAAGCAAGATTCACATCGCCCTTTGATTATTTACTTAGTTCTTTTCCTACATTCGATGCCTTAATTATTTCGTTGTATGGCATCAAATGACAAATGATATGAACTTACATTATCTTCCAGTTATCAATGAAATTCCAGTTAACAACACTGTGACGAAAAGAATTTTTGAATTAAACAAATCTCTTTCAACAAATTAATCAAGAAATAGTCGTTTTGTTCACTAAAAACTATATTTGCTGTGGATTAGTAGTACTTTGTAACAGGGTTGACGTCAACCATATCACGATTAATATGAAAAACACTATTGCAGCTCATCACGGATTGGCAGAAGCTAAACAGGTGAACTACTGGATTTGAACCATAGTAATCTTATGATCTTCTGGGTTCTTTTTAGCTCGCGTTTGTTTATATAGTTTGGTACGTAGTATCAAAATAGTAAGACACAATGTATTTTGTGGTCTAAACTTAAATGATTTCGACGAATGAAAGATACTTTAAATAAAGAATTTCTTTAAAGTCCTTATTAAATTTATCTAGCTATTTAGCTATTTTATAAAGACTAATGGACATTCAATTTAAGGTAAAAGATACTGAAAATTTTGCAATTTAAGCATGATTCATCAGATTTACATAGAATAGTGTTATTGTTAAAGTTATGGTGAACTAAACAAGAAGAACTAACATGTCATCAGGTGAAAAAATATGATAATTGTTGCGTGACTTCACTATGTGGTGACATTATTGAAAATTGAAAAACATGACGTATAACTTAGAACTAAGCTGATGTTTGTTGACGTTTCATTACCAATCCAATTGACATACTTCGTGTAACAACTGTTAGATTTCGTTTTTCAAAATATTCAATATCAATAAAAATTTCAAAAAATCAAAAGTAACAGAATTATTCAATTTACTGTATTCACAACATGTGAATTATTATTAATCGATCACTGAGTAATGATTGACGTCATATTTTTCTAGTTTCTTAGTGTTGACCGAACTCTATAGATGAAAATACAGTGAGATCACGAATTTAGCATCAGTTCCTTTAAAATCTTAGATACACCTTACTGATGAGCGTCAACTAGCTTGAAATCTCTGTCTACGATTTATTTTCATCTACCTTAAATCCTCTTACGTCTCAACATACAATTATAAATGTATATGTTACTCGAATGCTATCAATCAGCTACGAAACAAAGACGAAACAAAGAGCTAATTATTATGCTTGAGTTTCGAATTTCACTTAGAAATAGACAGAATTTCAATGCTTATTTCGAAGTTACCTTTTGAGCTAGTGTCACAAATTAATAACTCAGCATTTTTATGCATTGGTTCTATGATTGCATGATCAACCACCAATTAACCGTTGTTAAAATATAACAACATTGAAACGCTAAATTTGTGATAGCTAACTTTTCTTTTTGCTATTTAAATTAATCTCTTTGGTTTTTAAAAAAATCTTTAGATGATGGTTTGGTGACTACTTCACAGAAAGTCAATTTATCATTTATAATCATTGGTACTGTGCTTTTAATTGTAGCGGCAATACTTGTAATCATTACATTTATTAAATATGACACTATGGTGTTTATGATTGTTATAATTGTATTATTGGGATTAGCAAGTGAGTTTTTTTCGTTTTTACCAAGAAAAAATTATCTCATCAAGTAAACCGACAACATTTATCAAATGTAAATTAAGTGTCTTTATAAGGTGATTGGAATTATAGGAATAATTAATATATTTGTTATATTCCTATAAACTAATTATATTAAGTTCAAACAATTTAATTATATTGAATCAAATGAATGCGACAATAGATACCGGCTTAGTTGTTTAAAGTTTGGTTGCTTGCCACGAGATTGAAGTTCTAAGTTCGATCTTTTATTGGCATGTTTCTGGATGCGTACTAATCAGGGGTTCTGTACTAAGGCAAAACCGATATCCATTCTTCTCTATTTTTATTAAATATGTAAATTAAACCAGTACGCGATAAGAATAACATTAAATAATCTTTACAAAATATAACTGTAGAAAAGTAGTTAAACGGATAGTAGACGTTAGGAATTTAAAGGAATTCAAAATGAATGCTTGATTCTGTTTAGTTTACCACAAAATATATGTAGCCAGTAGTAATATACTGAAAAATAAATATTCAGTTCATTATTTTGCAGTGATCCGGATTCTTTGCTACAGTATGGACAGTAATCCCAAAAAACAGACTACATTAAAAATGTATATTATATTAGCGAATGATTTAAAACTGACACTAAACTCATTCATTGTTACATTATATTTCGAGTACTTTGGTTTATATAAATTTTAATCGTAGAAGCATCTTTGATCTATTATCAACATCTATGAAATATACAAATTAGAAATTATAATCACAACTATACTTCATTTTATACTACATTGACCTTTAAAAATAAAAATACGGAATCTTAAGCGTTGTTTTAAATATTAATCAAAATAAGTTTTGTAAAAAAATTCACTATTTTTATAAACTGCCGCTAATTGGAGAATTAAAAAAAGGTAGGCAATTAGCTCAGCAGGTCTGTACTGCTCATCTGTTCATGACAAAACGAAATTCAATACTTATTCATTAAAAAGTTTTATTCATTTACTAAAAATTAAATCAATTCACTATCATGTCAATACTTTAAACACCGATAAAACACGATGTAAAACCACAAAATTCAAGGCACCTTGAGTAATTATTGTCTAACCGCTTTAGTTTATTTTTTGGCGATCTCCTAAACATTCTATGATAAATCATCGTTGAATTACTGAAAAACTAACTTGGAAAGGTAATCCCAGGTGTTCTAATGAGAAATCATCACTATGTAGTTCAACTACGTTAGGATAAGGAAAAGATATCTTCAATAATAATCGATTATTGTGTATTTTCTGAAGTTAGGACATTGAACCACTGAGTGCCAAATTATGTATGTACGTTAAACCCTTGTCACCAGGACGGAATATAATAGTCTTTATTCCTGATGGGGTCGTGGATGCTCACCAAGGAGGAGTCTCACACTGAACTCTTACAAATAACAAGAAACTTCTTGGTGTATGTTTAGCATTATTTTTTGCTTATTATTTGTTAATTCACCAACAATATAATTCGCTGAAGAAATACTGTGTCCATCGTGTAGCTTTTCATAGATAAATCGCTTGTTTTACATAATATAATAACTACAGATTCACAAAAGACATTATTACATGACTTCAGTCAGGCAGTGATTGAAAGACATGAAGCACTGCACAACTGTTTCATCTTAGTATGTGACATTTCAACAGAAAAAAACGAGTGAAGGCCCATTGATCTATAGGTTAAGTGCTGACGCACTAGACTTCAATCTCCTTGGATCGATCTGTACTTGGTTCATCTGACAGCGTAAAAGTCAAGTGTTTCTTGGTTTTCGATGGTAGTCTAACTAAAATTAGTTCATGACATATGGGATGAAAAATTCTACAAACCTCCCTATATTGATGACAAAATGTTAAACTTTTATTCAATTTGTTATCTTTATTTTCAGTTTTATGCTTTATCATTGCACTTGTTGTGATTGACATGAATCCGAGATATTTAGGTTGGTTGTTAGCAGCTTTATGGGTAACATTTTTATGCTTATTAATCGCTATAATAATATGGATTACAAATACCGATTAAAACAAGATTTATTCACATTTCCATATACATCTACGTCTGTAAACATTTGTTTAATTTTAATAAATGCATAAAAACACAGTTATTATTCTACCACATTATATTTCTCTACAATGAATCATATTTTCATTTCAGAGAATATATTTATTTAACAACATATATTTTTAAATAAATACTTTCACTATTTTAAATTTTATTTGTTACAATTAAACAAATGGTGTTTCAGAGTTTCCCATAAATAAAAATAGGATCATTTCAAAATCTGTACACATTGCATATTTGTGACACTGACTTGCAGGTTGACCACTTGACTCCTATCGTGATATGGATCTCGAAAGCCTAATGAGTAAAATCCCTGATCGTAATAGAAAAGTCTTACTTTTAGTTCAGATTTGTTAAAGAAACTAAATAATCTTTGATATAGCTATCAGTACCCTTTGAGGTTGAAATCAACAGTATCTCTTTGGTTTGATTGATCATACTAATGGAGAGAGAATTAAGTCCGACTTCTGAAACTGGCCACGTGTATTTTAGGCATATTTGTGTCAGGCGGAGGATATCTGTTTCATGCAATAACACCGAACATTGATCTTGAATTGAATCAAGTTGAAAGATGCAATTCATTGGGATATTGCACATTATGAACAATATAGTTTTTAAGTTGATTCTAGTGCCCAAACACAAGTACAGATTAAATTCATTCAGTATTCTTTGTTTGAATCTTCCCATCGATTTGTTAGGACTGCAACTGGTCAGTCTCTAATTGGCATATGTGCATACTGTGCGTATTGCCTCGATATAGCCTTATTTCACAACCATGGTAAGCAGACATGGATAGTGGCTAGCAGTAGAAGCGAGGGTACTGGGTTCGAGTCCCAGAGTGAACATCAACTCTGAGATGCAGGTACATGCAGCTGACGAGTCTCAAATAGGACGAAACACGCGTTCTGGATTCTACTGCTAGCCACTATCCATCTCCGCTCACCATATAAGTACAGATTGTTAAAGAATTTTAGTCCTAGGAAAAAAATAGTTGATCAATGCTTTGTAGATTTCAAGAGGTTTCCAGCTAATATCAGTTAGTGACAAAACATCATCTTTGAACTATGCACACCATTGTAAGACATCAATAGAAATATGGTTATGCACTGAGTTATACTATTCTTAATTAAACCAAACCTAATTTCTTGTTAACTAGACATTGGCGAAAACAAAAGTCAGTTACTGTTTTAAGCAATACAGAGTAATACATACTGATCTAACTAAATCAGTTGATTGAATGACTTTTGGTTAACGCTGGTTAAATAATCATAGGATGTGGAATGCCAATAAAGTTAGGATACATACTATTTTTAAATAACTAATATAAATGGGATGTACTTTACATAAAGTCGTGAAGGAGGTAAGGATTTTAAATTAGACACTTACTTCTCATTACATACATTCAACACATTTATTTGAATGGGTCAAATCTGTACTGTGTCCATGCGTGATCATAAAAATTAAAATCAGTATTTTCGAGGCCATCAACATACACAAGAGAAAGCTAACGGTAATAAAGTCGATTGTATAAACATAAAACCCCAACATAATGAATAATAATAAAGCATAAAAAATGAAATATTTAGTTTTGTATTTCTTTAAATAAGACGCTCACCTAACCACTGCGAAATACATTGGAGTGAGAGTGCCTTAAATTAACTGTTTGTTAAACGAATTTTATACGAATGATTAAATATAATTAACATCGATCAAATATTTCTAATTATGCCAGACAACAGATTGTGTCCTAGACTTTATTCGGAAAATTTCACTACGTAACACAATTAGTTTATATGAAACCTTGAACTATGTTCTTATGATCTGTAAAATATTAGACTGTGTATAGTTAACACTTTCACATAAACTTGGGATGATTATATTTACTAAAATAAAGCACTTTCCTAGACATGTAGATCATTTAACTTATTCTCCAAATAATTTGTCATCAGGTTCATTTTAATTCATTAATATGAAATGTATTGCTTTTCAGTTGAAAATTTCAATTCTGACTTCTTCCATGCTTCTTAGTTATGATGTTGTGGATTGGTTCAGAACGGATAGGCACATAATTCAATTAGTTAGTACAATATGTCAGTCGGAGAGCTTCAGTTTCATAATATCTGTAAATGCTCTTCATATGACGACTTATTGCTACGTCATCTGCGAGCACTATCTAGTTGGATTTAATCAAAACCCAACTAATAACCAATGTCTATTAAAACTTATTAATATCAGTGTATTGAATTATGGTTCAAAGTATTTTCTCGAGAATGGAAATAAACTGTTCTATTCTTCTCTATCTCTCGTCAAGTCAAAGAAAGTGGGAGGTTTTCCAGAATAGAAAGTATGTGTTGTGAGTAGGGTATATATAAACTCGATGACATATGAAATCATGTGTGAAGTAACAGTATTGAGTAACAAAAAGCCAGTTTCCTTTAAGATTATCAATACATAATGCACAAATAACAATTTTTTGCAAACTCAATTATAAGAGGATTCGACTAATCATTTTATAATCTGTAGTCTGGTAAAATAAATTTATTGGCAAGACAAAACACCTCACATTTCAAACATTATAATACCTAGAAAAATAACTAAAAAGTACTTCGATATATTAAAGTAATTTTAAATATGATGTTATTATTCTAAAAATAAGGATAAGTTAAGAAAATTTTACATTGTGGTATAATTTATAAGTAAATATAAATAGTGCAATTGTGTTAAACATAAGTTAAATTGGCATCACGAGTATTGACTTACATATCCTACTACACAAATGTATCAAATCAACTAGTGTAATTTAGTTAAAGGTTTGCATGATTCACTGCAATAATGCTCAAAACACGAAGCAAAATAAAATTAAATATTTATAGTAGATTAAAAATAAAATGTCATTAAATTTATGGTGAAATAATCACATGCACTGCATTACAGCTAAGGCTAATGGTAACGTTTTTATTGGTCAGCGAACGTATAGTGGCTGAGTGCTGCAAATCAAAGGGTACTTTTCACTAAAGATTTTATTTCAAGTGCCTGGATTCATGCACAGTTGTATGTTATGAACATTATCAGAGAAGTTTAGTCTAACATCCTGGAAGAAAGTTAGAGTTTGAAATGTAATATTTCGTGGGAATTATACTTTTATATAAAGAATGTTTTCAGTAAACCAACGTTATAAATGGCTAAAATCACTGAATACACCTGACTTGTTGAACGGAGGAAAGTTGTGAGTAACCTCAGCTGTGCATCACATGTTCAACACTTTTTGTCAACTACTTATTTCTTCACATAAATCAGTAGGTTATGAACTACTTCATTTTGGATGTAATCAGAGTAATTATTAATGGTTACTGTATATTTACAGAAAACTATAAAAGGGGAACACTGACAGGACTTTGATAAACTTCATCTCACAAACTCATTTAAGGAAAACGTTTTGGAGCTAATCAAATTTTTGTTAAGAAATTTATTTACGTAATAACGTTGAAAAGTAACTTAAAAATTTTAATCAATCAATGGGAGATGTAGAACATGAATGATTAAAAAGTAGTTAACAATTTCCTGATATGGTCATTTTTTCGAACGGAGTCATCTTAACTGTACAACTGAAAAAATGACATGACTAAACAATATATAAACGAAATTTCTTGTGTAGACATAGATAGAATTATAAATAGAGTGAAGAAATATTTCCTCCTATTAATTTTATATCATAGCTGTACACTGTTATACATATTTATATACAATTAACAATAATAATAAAGTTGACTTGTCTCAATTTACGATTCATTATACCATTAAATACTGGTCACATCTTTTTATTAATCTGTAATAACAATTTTCATAATAACTTTTAAAATCGTAATGTTATTGCTCAACACATTATCATGCGATCAACATCAGTTTATTACTACTATTATTATTAGTATTGTTAAACATATATGCTAGTGTGAAGTCATAATGAAAGATCAATCAAAAATAAATATTTTTTAAATCTATTCGTACTTCCCCCACATATGCATGACTTTTAGTTTTGTGTATACTTAATGTGTACTTGGATTAAAAAATATGGGCAAGAAGACACTGATGAATTTTCAGTTTTCAGGTTGTGTACTAATCTTCTTACATATTAAAAGTAAATGGCAATCAAAATAGATCGGTAAAAACACCTTTGATTGTAATATTTTGTGAACGTTCTGGAACCTCACAATAAACTCTGGTTTACTAGATATTGTAGTTGAAGTTTACCATCAGGGCTTAAATCACATTAAACTTCAATTTTTATATTTCCTCCAGACTACTTCAAACGACTTGATATTGATCACATTTTCTATTCTTTTCCATATTAGTTCACGAATTCACAGGAAGCTATTAAATATATTTATGATACTTCAGTCAGTCACTTAGTAATAATCAACGTGGAGCATAGTGAAAATATAATTCAGCCCAAGCTCAGACACAACAATAGTACGATAAGACAATATTAACAAGATTATTAGTGAAGGACTCGGGATGATGTAGTTTCCGTGATAAGAATAGAAATTTATCACTAAAAATATGGTTTGAAAAAGTAGAATCAAAAGGTGAACAATAAAGAATACTAGGACTTACAGTCGAAAGGAAGATAAAGTAAATGCGTCTGCACCATTTTGACTGATTCTAACCTATGTCACGCTAAGTCCCCATTCACCAGTCGGCAATATGACATGGACCCCAACCAGGCGGTCTTCATGTAATAACATGGCTCCAAACAACTGTTCATAATTTGATGGACTCTGGCCACATTTTGGTCTGGTCGCCTCCAGATTTATTCCGGGTATGTGACGAAAATGAGAACGTGTGCTCTTTAATTGACGTAGACAATTCTGAATAGTTTTTCATGTGACACACATACGAAAAGATTCTTGCAATGATATTCTGTTTAATGATTTTCGAGTGATAATCATCACCCACTAGAAAATATGCGTTGGTAGGATATGTAGTACATTTTAAAAAAGACAATCTAAAAAAACAATAATAATAAATTTTAAGCAGTAACATTTTTGCTCGCAAAAATGGCCCAAATTAATACCATTTTTCCTATCTTGAAGTTCAATTTAGCTTGCAAAGATAATCACACATTTGATGATGAGTTGTGTGATAAGCACTCCCTTGGTGCATTAGCGTTTAAAAATAACAATATAATGATGCTGTATTGATGCTATAATTGTAAGGTTCTACATTGCGTATTACTGGTCGACTGAATAACTACAGCTATGTGCTATCTATACCTCAATAAATGTGAATTTACAGAACACTGAATCAGTAAAAAAATGGTACACCGAGTAACAAAATCTACGTGGAAAGTATTTGCTGTAAATAAGCCGTTAACTCTATTTTACATACATCTGACCTCAAAGACTGAAAAGAAACTGACATAATGAATTCGACTTTTCTATACACATCTACCACTTCAATTTTCCAAAACTATACGAACAGGTAAGTAGTTTAAACTAAGTCACTTTCGTTGTAATCCATTTATGAAATTATAAGTTTGAACATAGTAACTGTTCTATTTACTTTCGTCTTTTGAATATTTCTTAATTCATTGAGCCATCGAATTCGTAACCCTATTGCATAACACACCACCATCTGACCGTTATTGATTCTATTACTTTTGTAAAACATACATGTATATTAAATTACAGTCCTGATAAAAATCTGATTGAAAGGAATTAGTTTTGCAGTTTTTTTCTTTTCACAACTTATTCATACAAAGTAATATAATGTTCCCCATCGCAGAGCTTTTAATTAATTTTTTTATAGTTTATATTGACAGAGAATCTTATTAAAATTACTGATCAATTAGTGAAGCACGATTTATATTCGTAAATTACTGTCTTTTTTCCTGAATAAAAGCATACAAATAAGTTATATATATGCAAAACCATCTTTATATAATCTTTATTCAAGTGCGCAATTACATATTCATATGCATGTATCTTATTACACATACATCCTACCAATATATAAGCTGGTTAATTCCATTTCTCATAAGTTAAAATTGTTATCATTACCAAACTGGTTTACTAATGGTATTTTCATCATCGGTAAAGATAATTTTGACCCACTTGTTTTGCCTAAATATTATTCTGTGTATCATATCATTGGCAAAAAATAACAGAGTAACAGGTATGTTATCGAAATAATGATAATAATCATACGTTTTGATTAAATGATATTACTATTACTTATTGTACCAAGACTAGCACATTGACATTCAACAGTTCATAGCTTTAAGTTCACATGTTTTCATATTCCTTGAGATCTCAAGGTCATATGTTATAACTTGGATATGAAGCTTGCGAATCTATAATCCTGAATAGTTCAATTGTTCATGAACAAGGCTAGATATTCAATTCTCTATAGTTTCCGATGGTTGACAGTGTTTATACCACTTGGTGATATCTTTAGTGACGGAATTTTTTTAGTTGCTTGAAAGAATGCTATAATTTATTTATCAGTAGAAATAATGAATATAACTCCTGAATTAATAACTGTTCTAACAAAAGTAACACTTTATTCAGAATACCTAATAGTGTCAGCTGTCTTGACGAAAAAGTAGAAATTCTCATACCTGCCCGATAGGTACTCCAGTGGTGATTTAGTGCATGAAGATAGAAAACAACCATGAACGCTTATGAATGAATTATACTGCAAACAAAGTTGACAAATGAACTTACTTACTTACTTAACTCTGTTACCCCTCGTGGAGAAGAATGGGCCGCCCACCAGCATTCTCCATCCAACTCAGTTGTGAGCAAGCCCTACCAGTTGGTTCCAGTTGGGATTCATCCTTTTTATTGTCTGCTTTCAAATCCAAATGCAGTGTGTTTGTTGGTCTTCCTTTCATTTCTCTTCAGGATTCCAAGTTAGCGCTTGCTTCTTGATGCATTTTGATGATTTCCTCAATGTATGTCCAATCCACTTCCAACTTTTTTTCCTGATTTCCTTTTCAGCTGGAAGGTGGCTTGTTCGGTCACACAATAGTTTCTTGACGATGGTATCCGGCCAACGTACATTGTGTATCTTGCGTAGACAGTTCTTCAGAAATACATGAACGTTTTTGCTGATGGCTGTAGTAGTTCTACACATTCCAGCTCCATACAGTAGAGCTGCCTTGATGTTCATATTGAAGATTTTGACTTTGATACTGATTGAATGATATTGTGAGTTCCATATGTTCTTCAACTGTGTGAATGCTGCTCTTGCCTTGTTAATCCTTGCATTTACGTTTGCATCACATCACTCTTGTCCATCGATGATGATGTGCGGGTATGTGAAAGTTTTCACCACTTCCAGAGCTTCTCCAACGATTGTGATTGGATTGGTGTTCCCCATGTTGTATTTGAGGATCTTGCTTTTTGTCTCGTGTTTGTTGTGGCTTACTGATGTAGAGGCTTCTGCTACACTGTTTGTCTTGACCTGCATTTGTTCTTGTGTATGAAGTAGAAGATCTAGGTCATGTGTGAAGTCCGATTCGTCTAGTCGCATGAAAGCTGTCTATTGTATTCTGTGCTTCCTGTACAATGTGGACGTCTTCATAATCCAGTCAACCATCGGAGAAAAGTCAAAGTAGGAGGACGATATATCTTACAGTTGAACACTTGATCTGGTTTCGTATGCTCATCTAGTAACAATCAGGCTAAATCCACACTGTAACTTGAACACGAGAGAACAAGCCCAAAATATGGAGAGAACGCTTTACTCCAACGTTAGGAAATGTGTAGAAAATCTGGGGTATGTATAGCATCTTTGATAGCCCTTGGCTTCTGGAATATTCTGCCATCCTCCTTAACATAATGGCAGGATAGGTCATCATCTAATCAAAAAAGTGACATGTGCCTTCACTTTCTAGATGTTTTTGAAAAACTTCTATTGAATGCTGTTTGAACAAGATGATTTCCAGCAACTTACAGAGCCCCACCGGGCTATTCTTGAGTAATTTTCTGGGCAGCCTTGTCAGATTCCGGTCCTTATTTGGAATGCGTCTGTCAGCTATCCTTAATTCTCGACTTCTCAGTAAAGTCCGTCGTATGAATTCCGGATGATGTAGTTGATTTTCTCAGATACACGATAGTGTCAAAGAAGTTTCCATAATGTCCTCTAATCCACACTGTTAAATGCTTTCTCATAGTAAAGGACGTTGATGTATAGCGACGAGTCACGTTCAATTTATTTTTCAATGATGGTCCATGGTGTCACGATTTGGTCTTTGCACCACATATTCTTACGAAATCTGACCAGTTGATCTCGAAGTTGGTCGTCGACTTAATCTTTCATCTGGTTCAGTAACTCACTGTTGAGAACTTTTCTCGGTACTGATAGCAGCGTGATGCCTTTGTGGTTCCCCCACTTGCTCAGATCTTCATTTGGCATCTTGATGAGATATCCTTCCTCCCAGTCTGTCGGAGCTTTTTATTCATCTCAAATCTCCCTGAATAGAACGTCGAGTATGTTTGCAGTTGCTTCTATGTTTGACGTTAGTACTTTGGCTGATATATTGTCAGGTGCTCCTGCTTTCCCACGCTTGATTTTGTCTGAAGACCATCCTCGTCTCGGCGAATCATGATGGAGTGACAGCTACTTCGATATTCGGTGTACTCAATGGAGCTGGTCTATTTATGAGTTCTTCGGAATGTTCCACCCATATGGTCCTCTATCCTCGAATTTCAGTGATTGGCTTACCTTTTTTGTCCTTGACCGGTTTTTCTAATTGACCATATTTCCCTACCAGTCGCTTTATTATACCACATTGGTAGATGTGCACAAACATCTATTGATCAATATAAACACCATATTATTAATTTAAAGACTTTACATAAAATAGAAGTTTTGTTTACCACTACAGTGATTTTTTCATTATAGCAGCTGAAGACATGTTAGTATGCATTTCAGTGTTTCTTGTAGATAACAGAAATTTACTCATTGCAAAGAATGTCAATAGTTTCAATGTCCATTTAAAGATATTCAATAACGATAAAATCATGTAAATTCATAAGAAATGATCTGCGCAATATTTCATTATGTATCTTCAGAAAATTCTGTCTTATAGACAGTAAAGTTGTGTGACAGTAAGAAAGACTTAGCATACACGACACCGGTGACCCCTCGATAATCAAACAATTAGAGTTACCTCTACTTTTTCCGAAATTTTAGTGATAAAATAATTTTGTTTACCTCACTATCGCATTTCAATATTTATCTTTGAAATAGCACAACATAAAAGCATAGCAGAGAAAGTTTACATTTCATCTAGTTTATTCGGACTACTGTTGTTATTCGCTGCACTTATTCTCTTCATTTTATCAATATTAACACCATATAAGAAAAAATCTATATTATTAGTGTCTGTAACAATATGTACTGTATTATCAGGTAAGCAATTAACTATACGCATATGATATATCATTTGAAATATTTTATTGAAAAAATAATAAATTGTAAAGTCTTTTTATTGCATTTATCAGTAGCAAGTAATTTACTACTACTACTTTACTTCGAAAGGATTATCCTGCCTCCACACTGCATACAAGAGACTTAGACTTGCAGACATCATGTGTCGAGTTGAGTGGTGGTTGAACATACATACATGTCCAAACTACCCCAGTTGATCAAGACTTACTCACTGAAGAGAAGTCGCACATCAGCAAAAACATGGATGCCTACTGCTCTCTGGTGTTCACTTGTTTGAGGGTTGATTTCGGCTCCCCAAAATGTAACCCCTTCCCCCGGAAAAAAAACTAAACTGTCTTGCGGAAAATATTTTAGGCCTTACATTCTGTAGTTAAATATAAATGTTTTTATCAGTTACTATCATCAGGAATAGAGTTTTCAGTGATATTTTGGTCCTTTAACTCTCTATTATGGCTATAGAAATCAGGCAGATTCTAGCAAGTGAACAGTTTAGTACTTCTATCTAGCAAACTTCAAAGTTTGAACCCGAATACATTTTCATAAGCATTTTTCATCTGCTCACATTATCAATCATATTTTACATCATTTACTATGGATTTTACCTGCCATGATATTCAAACTAATAAACTGGGCTTCAGATGATTGTTTATTCGAACTCATTGTAGCCATGTGATCCGCTAAAGTAAAATTAATTTCATCTTTGCGATTCAAATATATCCCTATCTTACTAGACTAATCAATAGTCATAAAACATGTTTCATGCTTACGTTTTGCGTAAATTACTTGATTCTGAAGATGTGACACCTTTTGTTTGATATATATTATATGGTTCTCAGTGTTATATGATCTCTATGGCACTTAAAATGATCTGAACTCAAAGACTTTGATTTACAGATACCTCGATTATGGATAAAATAGATTATAGCTAATGGAAGCTTGTTTACTATTTGTCTGTAAAGCATTAAAAATACTTCTCAAAAAAACTAAAGATAGTCATTATAGTAAAAAGAGCACTTAAAATTTGAATTATATGAAAGATAATTGAATAAAAATAGCCGGTAGAACGTTATAGAAAAAAAGTAATCAAGTTTTGTACTAGTTTACAATATTGGAAATTCGTTTAGTTGTGGTATGGAGCATAATAGTGAGGATCCACAACTCTGTTTCAGAGTGAAACTAGAACCTTCAGAGCTGATAATAAATAAACTATTCTCAGCAACTGATTTCAGGAGGAAATTCTGATAGCTCTGGTAAGAAGTTGGGTCCAATGAAGTGAGATAGGTATCACCGATACCAAATGATGATAATCGTGCCAATTCTCCAATCGTCCGAAGCTAGAAATTCGAATCGCTGAAATCCAACTTATTGGTTTAAATGTACGGCGATCTTCATGAGACCCAAATGTACTGAGCTCGAACTGCTGAGGAGTGATGAGTGAACGCTGTTGAGTTCCAAACCAGAAAACCAATTGTTCAATTATTCATGCTTTTCAATAGTTGTCTACCTACTATCAACCTGTAGAGTAAACTTATCGCTGATTACTAAACCATAACATATTAGGAAGCATCTTATCACTCTTTTTCTACGAAGCAATTCAAAACCGAAATGAAATCAGCTGTACGGTTCTGTATTCTACATCTTAAAACAACCGTCAATTCATGTAAACTAGTTGAAAATGAACATCGAACTCTACTGACCAACTTTTACAACACAATTATTATTTGAAACCAAAATACAAACGATAAGTTTCAAAATTACTAAGTATTTACTCCAGGTCTTTTAACCATTTATTGATATAACACATATATATTGGAAGAATTAGTCGTCATTTGGAATTAGTATACAAATACCAATCTCCTCGTAATTTTTAAAAGTTTCCATTTTTTGTTTTGCAGTTTTTTGCTTTCTTATGTCATTTGTCATTCATTATTCGCAATGGAATAGTGATTTTAAAAAATATTCAATATCTGCTATGAATCCAGCTGCATGGCATTTTGCACTATTTTGGTTATGTATTGTTGCACTTGCTTTATGTATTATAATAACTTGTGAAAACCAATTATCAGGATGAATACGGAATCAATACAACAGAACATCTTTTATTGTATTAAAACAAATTATGAATGGATGCTTCATTTCACTAATTATTGTTCACATCATGATAAATTTAATTCTACATATTTGCAATATACCTACTATGTTATTATTTTGTTCGTACATCTAATGCCTAAATTATGATTGTATCAGAATTTCATATGAATCTTTACAGCATTTAGCTTTAAAATTTTTTCAAATCATAAAATGTCATCGATTCACATACATTATCTCAATGATTGTTAACGGTTTTATACGCGCAACAGGACATGATAAAACTGTGATCATATTTTATGAAATAAACTAATCAACTCAATCATTATAATAAAAGGCTTTTTAGACTGAATTAATGAACTAGAAACAGTTTTCAACTTTAAGATGATAAGAGGAAATTTTTACGTTAGGATTAGAATATCGGTGTATTGTTCTCTGAACTGGATAGTTTAATTGTAAAGCCTGTTTAATTGTAAAGCTCTGATTCGACTGGTAGAGTTCGAGTAAAAAACCTTCACAAGGTATATGTACTTCTGAGGTACACCTTCCAATGATGCTATGTTAGTCGGACTAATCCCTCTATGGCTATCACAGGATGAGTTTTGCCCCTTCTTATATGTTTGGACGACCAGTGATTGAGACCAGTCAGATGGGATTAAGTCAAACTAATAGCTTACTTAATTACTTTCGCCTGTTACTCCCAATGGAGCATAGGCCGCCGACCAGCTTTCTCCAACACACTCTGTCCTGGGCCTTCTTTTCTAGTTCTTTCCAGTTCTTGTTCATTCTTCTCATGTCTGTCTCTATTTCTCGGCGTAATGTGTTCTTTGGTCTTCCTCTTCTCCTTCGACCTTCAGGATTCCATGAGAGGGCTTGTCTTGTGACACAATTGGGTGATTTCCTCAAAGTGTGCCCAATCCACTTCCAGCGCTTCTTCCTGATTTCTTCCTCCGCTGGAATCTGGTTTGTTGTCTCCCACAGTAACTTGTTGCTGATAGTGTCTGGCCATCGGATCCGAAGTATCTTGCGTAGACAGCTGTTAATAAACACTTGTATCTTCTGGATAATGGCTTTCGTAGTTCTCCACGTCTCTGCCCCATACAGAAGAACTGTCTTGACATTTGTATTGAAAATTCTAACCTTGGTGTTGGTTGACAATTGTTTGGAGCTCCAGATGTTTTTCAGCTGTAGGTATGCTGCTCTTGCTTTGCCGATCCTCGCCCTCACATCTGCATCTGATCCACCGTGTTCATCAATGATGCTGCCCAGATATGTAAAGATTTCCACATCCTCCAAAGCTTCTCCGTCATGTGTAATTGGATTGGTGCATATTGTATTGTATCGGAGAGTCTTGCTTTTCCCTTTGTTTATATTGAGACCTACTGCTGCTGAGGCCGCTGCTACACTGGTCGTTTTCTCCTACATTTGTTGTTGCGTTTGTGATAGAAGAGCCAGATCATCCGCGAAGTCTAAATCGTCAAGCTGCATCCTGCCTGTCCACTGTATCCCGTGCATTCCTCCAGATGTTGACGTCTTCATAATCCAGTCGATCACCAGGAGAAAGAGAAAGGGTGAGAGTAGGCAACCTTGCCTAACACCGGTCTTTACCTCGAACGAGTCGGTGAGTTGTCCTCCGTGGACGATTTGGCAGTTTAGTCCATCATAGGAGTTCCGTATGATGTTGACTATCTTCTCAGGCACGCCGTAGTGTTGAAGAAGCTTCCATAGTGTCGTCCTGTCCACGCTATCAAATGCCTTCTCGTAGTCGATGAAGTTGATGTACAGTGATGAATTCCATTCGATTGATTGTTCCACAATGATACGTAGAGTTGCGATTTGATCTGTGCACGATCTATCCTTACGAAATCCAGCTTGTTGATCTCGAAGTTGAGCGTCCACGGAATCCTTCATCCTGTTTAACAATACTCTGTTGAAGACTTTTCCTGGTATTGAGAGAAGAGTGATGCCCCTGTAGTTGTCGCACTTGCTGTGATCGCCTTTCTTTGGTATCTTGATCAGAAGTCCTTTTTTCCAGTCTATTGGTACTTGTTCTTCATCCCAAATCTTACTGAAGAGGATGTGGAGTATCTTGGCAGTTGCTGCTACATTTGCTTTCAGTGCCTCTGCCGGGATGTTGTCTGGTCCCGCTGCCTTGCCACTCTTGATTTGTCTAATGACCATGCTGATCACTTCAATTGTTGGTGGGCAAACATTGATTGAGAGGTCCGTGGGTGCTGCTTCGATGTTGGGTGGGTTCAGTGGAGCTGGTCGATTCAAGAGTTCCTTGAAGTGTTCTACCCACCTGTTTCGTTGTTCTTCAATATCGTTGATTACTTTGCCTTCCTTGTTTTTCACTGGTCTTTCTGGTTGACGGTAATTTCCAGCAAGTTTCTTTGTTGTATCATACAGTTGTCTCATGTTTCCCTCTCTTGCAGCCTTTTCCGATTTGTCATCGCTAAATCTTCCACATATTTACGTTTGTCGGTCCTGATGCTCCTCTTCAATTGCTTGTTTGCCTCTGTGTATTCGGCTTGTGCCTTGGCTTTTTCTGCTCTTGTTCGGCTGATATTGATTGCTACCTTCTTGTTCCTCCTTGCTTCAATTTTATCCAGTGTACCAACAGTGATCCATTCCTTGTGATGGTGCTTCTTTTGGCCCGGAACCTCCTGACATGTTGAAACGATTGCCTCCTTGATACCTTTCCAGCTGCTCTCTATGGTGGTTCCCTCTCCATTGAGTAGGTCATGAAAGGCCTCGAACCGGTTGCTGAGGGCTATGTTAAATTCGTTGAGTTTGTCAGCATCTCGAAGAAAGGCCGTGTTAAACATTTGTGATGTTGTTCGCGCCGTTGTCCAGTGCTTCTTGAGTTTTAGTTTCATCTTGGCGACCAGCAAATGATGATCGGATGCTATATCAGCTCCTCTTCTGGTTCTCACATCCTTCATCGTCCTCCTGAACTTTTTGTTGATGCAGACATGATCGATTTGATTTTGTGTAGTGTGATCCGGTGAAATCCAAGTGGCTTTGTGTATGTCTTTGTGTGGGAATATGGTGCCACCTATGACCAGTTTATTGAAGGCACATAGGTTTGCAAATCTCTCACCGTTTTCGTTCCTTCCTCCCAGTCCATGTTGTCCCATGACGTCTTCGTATCCAGTGTTGTCCTTTCCAACCTTGGCATTGAAATCTCCCATTAGAATGGTCAGGTCCTTGGTTGGGCACTTCTCGAAGATTGACTGCAGCCTATCGTAGAATTGGTTTTTAGCGTCTTCATCGTAGTCGTTGGTCGGCGCATAGCATTGGATGATGTTCATTGTAATGCGCTCTCTCTTTGTTTTGAAGGAGGCTTTGATGATCCTCGGTCCATGAGATTCCCATCCTATAAGTGCATTTTGTGCTATTCTAGACAGCATCAGTGCCACTCCTTGTGTATGTGGGGCATTTTCTTCTTCATGACCGGAGTATAACAGAAGTTCCCCTGAAGACAGTCGTTGTTGTCCAACCTGCGTCCAATGTGTTTCACTGATTCCAAGCACTTCCAGGTTGTATTTCCTCATTTCCGCAGAAATTTGGAAGACTCTGCCGGTCTCCCACATTGTCCGGACATTCCATGTACCTATAAAAATTGTCGCTCTGGTTGTAATAAGGTGCATCGGCCTCATGACTTCCGAAGGAACTCGGCTTTCATCATGAGACGTCATTTTTCCTTCTACTCCCAGGGCAGAGTTTGAATGGTTTGAATGATTTTTTCTGGTTAGCGTTTTTTTAGCGAGTTGATTTTCTACGGGATGTGGTCGCTAACCCCATGCCCAACCCTCCTCCTTTACCCGGGCTTGGGACCGGCAGTAGCCCCTGGAGGAGCTACAGGCGGAGTTGTCAAACTAATAGATTTCAGGTAAAATATTAGTCGACCTAATCGCTAAAACTGGACCACCATACATGGAGACCAATGCGGACAAACCATCAGGATCAGCTGCTCCTGCTCGTTTCAAATTAGTTTTTGCTTTTTGTACTTCAATCAGAGTCGGAGTGCCTACTTCAATGTCCTATTCAGGCCGTTTACGCTCGTCATCATCTTCGGAGCCTGATGGGATGAGTTCACGAAACTATCAGTGCAATGGATGTGAAGAAATCCACTGGTTCTTCTAATCATTTAGTTGAAGTCATCAATAGTCGTCGCTGCTCTTTCCAATATTCGGGTTTGCCTCGTCTTCGAAATTGACTAAAAATGTGACTTTAGTTTTCTCTGGAATTTACCTTTGACTTTCTCATCGCTGATTTCAACTCTAATAGTTTTCATAACGTCGCTTTTCTACCTTCAGTGAGGTGCAAGCGAATGCGTGCTTACATTAGAATGTGTTCATAGTCTATGTATGTACTCCAAAATGAGGGGTAGCCCTTTACCGAGCCTCTCCAACGATGCCCGATGGAAAAATAGTCTGTTTGAGTCCATCGTTGGTTTGGTGCATGGAGTCACCGTGCTGGATAATATCTCTCCGTATGTCTAAAATTGGAGCTTGCTAGAAATAAAGTTATTGTCTGAGCTCACTTACTTGCTTACCTACTTACGTACGCCTGTTACCCCTCGTGGAGAGGAATAAGCCGCCTACCAGCATTCTCCATCCAACCATGTCCAGGGCAATCCTAACCGGTGCTTTCCAATTAACAATCATCCTTTTCATATGTTCTTCAATTTTAGAAATGTTGTCCTTACTTTGCCAATCCTCGCCTTTACGTCTGCATTCGATCCTCCTTGTTTATCAAAGATGCTTCCCAGGTACATGAATGTTTCTACATTTTCCAGAGTTTCCCCATCAATTGTAATTTGGTTGTTCTCCATGTTGTATTTGGAATTTCGCCTTTGTGTATGTTGAGGCCTATCGATGCAGAGGCTACTGCTTCATTTGCTGTCTTCATCTATATTTGTTCGCATGTATGAGTTAGGAAAGCTAGGTCATCTGCGAATTCCAAATCGTCTAATTGGTGCTGAGATGTCAATTGTATTCCGCGCTTCCTCTCAGATGTCGAAGTTATCAATATCTGAGCACAACTTATTTGTTTATTTAAACACATAAATATTGGTACAAATGAGCACCAGTTGTATATGCGTCACAAAAAACAATGAGAATGGGAAGAGAAAAGGAGTGAGATTCATGTGAAAAAATAAGAGTAATGATGAGGGAAACAGAAATATGCAACCAAAAGATCCCATTCACTTAAGGTAGTTATGACTACTCTTTATGAAGAAATGGTTCAAATGGTTCAAATGGTTGAGGACGGAATAGAAGAAGCTTTCGCTTAACGGGCTTCCGTGTCTGGTAGCAGTGGATCACCAATACCTCCAGGCAAGAACCTAGGTATATGAACGATAATAGAGGGGAAAAAATTTGGTAAATCATAATAATATGTTATCCTTAGTTCTTAAGAATAAGTCAAGTTTCCTCTTAAAGGACTCCTGGGAGGTCGCTCGGACTAGCTCAGTCGGCAGCGAATTCCAGCACTTGACAACTCTAATGGAGTAGAAGTTGTGTCTGCAGTCTGTTCTGCTATGTAGGGTCTTCAATTTCTGGGTGTTACCTCTTAGGTTAGTGTTATGACTAAGCTTAGGAAGATGTTTAAGGGGATGACCAGAAGTATTAAGGATACTGTAAGTCATAAGAAGATCACCTCTAAGACGCCTGTACTCTAACGGGTAAAGGTTAAGTGATTTGAGGCGCTCTTCACAAGGTTTGAATTTGAGACCCAGAACTGATTTCGTGGCTCGACGTTGTATACGTTCCAGAGTGTCCTTATCCTTTTGGAGGGAGGGAGGAAGTACTATGTTTTCGCACTCTAAGTCGGGACGAATAAAACTGTTGAAGATTATATGGAAGGTTCTGCCGTCAAACTGGCCAAAATTGCGCTTCAATGTTACCAGTGCAAGGTTTGCTTGAGAGGCGTTTTTGTCACAGTTCGCATACGTTTTCAGGTCGTAGGGTACCAAAACTCCTAAATCTTTTTCAACTTGGGAAACTTCTAGAGGGGAGTTACCTAAGTTGTAACTATAGTCTGCAACATGTCTCAGATGGACTACCTTGCACTTTGAAGTGTTGAAGGTAAGTCCGTTGTCGTCTGCCCAACTTTGAAGTCGGGTCAGATCCTCCTGAAGAACTAGTATATCATTATGATTACGTATCTCTCTCCAAAGTTTCACATCATCAGCAAAAAGCAATAAGTCAGATGAAACTTGTTGGGGTAAATCGTTAATATAAATCAAGGAGAGAAGAGGTCCAAGTATTGAGCCCTGGAGGACCCCACTAGGACATTTCATAGCCTGAGAGAGAGTGAAGTTAACCCTGACCTTAAATTGTCGGTTTTCTAAATATGAAGAGATCTAATCAATCAAAGGGGTTTTTATACCCAATCTTCCAAGCTTCTTCATAAGACATGGTTGACCCTATCAAAAGCTTTGGAGAAGTCCAGGTAGATGACGTCAACCTTCCCCTTGCGATCAAGGATGGTTGTCCATCTGTCCACCACAGTCAGCAGGTTGGTCATACAAGAATGACCTTTTCTGAAACCATGCTGTTGAGGCGAGAAGAACTTTGAGGATGATAAGTATTCTAGTATACCGTCGTATATTAGGGATTCCATAATTTCGGACGATATGGAGAGAAGGGCCACTGGTCGGTTGCTTGAATGTTCACTGCGTCGATCCAATAACTCAGTGTCGTACTCGCAAGCCTCGTTTGGATCACGATAAAGAAACAAATCAGGTAATACACTCCATTGATGCAATCTTGTATCTTCAAGACGAATGTGCCGAACTTCACGAGCGATATGCCACCATACAACGGCAATAGAATGTCTTGACTTGTTACTACGCGGAATGACGATATATACACGTGACAAAGGAACGTCAGTGTTGCAGAATGCAATAAGCGGAACGTTTACAAATTGGCTTCATAAACATCTTGGTGATCACTCATTGGGTCACAAACAACTAGAAGGCGGAGATCTCGGAAACAAGATTGCTTCTGGTTGGTGAATGTACCAGGTGTGAAGCGTCCAGCCATTGATGTTGCTCCTGTGTAGTTCTCAAATTTCAACACAGCATGCTGAGTGAACGGCCTGGATCCGATTGCGTAAACATTTGACGGATGATCAATCGCCGCAATAGCACGAGCTGCTAGAAATATATTTCCTCATGTTTTATCCAAATTAAGTATATGATAATTATCTTTAGTACACTCATGGACGTATGTTGACATTTGGAAATTCATACTAGTCTCCCCCTCATGAACGTGAGCTGCAAGTGTTAGGCGCACATCCTCTGCTGAGAGTTCTAAAACTGGATAACTACTCGACATATTTGATAACAACCAGATAAAATCACGAGTGGTTTATTCCATCATGTCCGATATTTCATAGGTGGGTTTAGGCTTTAAAGAAGTGAGGCCATGTTTATCATTGTGACTAGGGTTTCACTAGGTACCAAACTCTCCCCGCTATTATTCCTGAAATTCATCTGTGGTCCCTCAGCTGACCTAAAATACTCAGTTTTCATTCACTTGGATGGCACGAAATGTTAAAAAGTATTCAGATATAAGGGCGGTTCACTTGAACTTCAAAGAGAGCCGGATATTCCAAGGTAGTCGATGCTCAGGAATAGATAAGTATTCGATCGGTGAAAGTGTCAGTTTACGAAAATTCAACTTACGGGGGAACGTCAAACAGACTAACACCTTAGAGGCTACCGCCTCTCTTCAACGTTGATGGAGCGCGATCTGCATCAGTTACTAACAGAATTCGCAGACATTAATCACAACCAAGAAGATCTATCAACAGTCTACACTGTTCTACATTGTATCCGAAAGAAGCTTGAGAAATCGAATCCTGGAGTATCCGGCTCTCTTTGAAGTTCAAGTGAACCGCCCTTATATCTGAATACTTTTTAACATTTCGTGCCATCCAAGTGAATGAAAACTGAGTATTTTAGGTCTGCTGAGGGACCACAGATGAATTTCAGGAATAATAGCGGGGAGAGTTTGGTACCTAGTGAAACCCTAGTCACAATGATAAACATGGCCTCACTTCTTTAAAGCCTAAACCCACCTATGAAATATCGGACAATGATGGAATAAACCACCTGGAATGGGATGAATCGAAACGGATGAACGAAAGGCAAAAAAAAGAATTTTCCATGCTTTCAAATAAAATAATTACATCGACCCAGTACGGTAGGGAGGTCCAACCGTGTTAAGTCTGATCAACTATTGTCCAGAGAAACCAGTCGGCTTTTCTTGAAAACCCGCTGCGTAAATGTGATCACGTCCAAAAAGCCTTATTTCTAATATTGGCTTGCTAGTACGACACTGAGTTATTAGATATTGAGTGCAGAGACTTCTACTTTCTGTAGATAAGAATCGGAAATCCTCCCAGGAGTCCTTTAAGAGGAAACTTGACTTATTCTTAAGAACTAAGGATAACATATTATTATGATTTACCAAATTTTTTCCCCTCTATTATCGTTCATATACCTAGGTTCTTGCCTGGAGGTATTGGTGATCCACTGCTACCAGACACGGAAGCCCGTTAAGCGAAAGCTTCTTCTATTCCGTCCTTAACCATTTGAACCATTTGAACCATATGGATATTAAGTGCAGAGACTTCAATGGTTTTCCTTTCTGTAGATAAGAATCGGAAGTTATCAGTCAAGAGATTAAAATCTAATGCCACCTTAAACATTCTGTAGATAGCCAAGTGATAAGTAGTTATTTGAATCTTATTATCAGAAAACCAGGACAGAATAACAAAATAACGGTCAGTAACCTCCAAGTGGCCTTGAAAGTTGTCATTTTTCAAAAGTACTACATATTATTGCTGACAACGAAACTATGTACAAACAATACAAGGTAGTGAAGGTTAATTTTATATAATCTTTTATATAATTCAAGCTTTCTCAAGACCTCCGGGTTCGCCGAGTTTCTAGCAGAGCACCTGCTTTTTCTACGAAATCTCTGCAGAGTGGGATCAAGGGTGTGACAAGATTAGAAGATTATGTCGGAAAATATTTGATCGCTATATTTTATCCTTCAAACTTGTAAGTTTTTTAATATCAATTGCCGTGGAAAATAACGGACATGTATTCCTACATTTTGGGGATCTTTGAGTGAATTTTGGAGTTTCCACCAAAGTTGGAAATATATGATGGTTTGCCTGGAAGTTTGAAGAAATTTTGAAAAAACCTCAAAGTGTTATAAGATTTTGTACACATATTGAGGAAATTTCAAGATTTCACGAAACATCTCGGGGATTCTTCCCCAGACCTGAAGAAAAACTACTCAAGACGGACAAAACGTCCCCCAAAACAGGGATATGTATGAGACTCAGTGTGGACTACCGAAGCAGAATCCGAGGTGATATCTCAAACTGATGGAGAATAGGATCTGAATAATTTATTCACCAATGGACTTGAAGACTTTGAAATGTGTCCACAACTCTAGAAAACGTTTATTAGTCGCCGCCACACAGCCTTCAGTTGTTTCTAACTTATGACTTACTATTACTAATTATCACAGGTCTTTAAGCTTTCTGCATTTAGAGAAACATAGTAAGTGAAATGAGACTCCCTGGTGGGGCAACGTCCAGGAATTCGCTCAATGTTTCATTAATTTGGCCCTAAGACTTCTATCAAGTCGGCATTTTTATCAGGGTTCCGCTTTTGTCTTAACGAGCTTCCCACATGGCTGAATCCAATTATTCGCTGGGTTCACTTTTAAAGTTTCACTATAAATTAGTTTATTGATGAATCATCAAAGCCATCCCCCACTGGTCAACTGAATCTTAAAACTAAAAAATATTTTGCCATGCTGACTTCAGAGCATGTTAATGAAAGTTACTCAGAGATCCTAGTAAACGATATTTGAGTGACTACTTCGAAGCTGAAAAAAGAGAATGCGGATTTCGGTAAATCATTTCTTCTTCATGAAAAAAATGTGTTTGCCAAATGTGAACTGTTTTTGTTTGCAAGACATAAAAAGGCATAGAATGCGTAATAAGCATAGCAAAACGCAAAGTATAATCGGCGCTTCAATGTATACCTACAGCTTCGGCCTAACCGATAAATATTTTTTTGGAAGACACTATTATACCAGTGTAGAGTTTTATAATTTAAGCAATACTAATTCTTCGAATTCTCAAGGTTACACCAAAGAGTATATATATATATATATATATAACCAAAAGTCAGTCAAAACCAGAAAGCTATATTCAAAGTTTTGCAAACTTAGTACTTAAAATAACCACACAACGGTCCTGTCAAAATTCATCAACAACGAATGGAAAGAACAATTTGTGTATGCGTTGACAATTAGTTAGAACAAAAAAACAAAAGAGAAATAAGGAAGATATCGATCCAACCATTCCGTTTGTCATGCTTTAAACCGAATGTACATCAAGAACCGACAACTCAAAAGAGTTACGGGGTTGAACTAAACATATGAACAGATATTTGATTGTCTATTTAAGGGTTAGCAGAGAAGAACACAGGAAGCGTGATCGTTTTGTGATGCAACATGGATAACATTATTTAGTATGACAATTCAGTGGCAGTTTCAAAAACTTAGGGTGTTTCGATAAAAAGCAGAATATGCTAAAAAACAATTGGGGTAATTATTGCTATCAATCCAAATTCAACTAATTTCTACAGACCATTCAACCAAATAATAATCATTTACTTATCAATTATTAGCTTTAAGAATAACCTTGAGGAAAAGTGAAGACTAGTGGATTTCAACTATGTAAAAAGCTTGACAGTGACGTAATAATGTCTTTTGGATACCTTATGATCCATACCGAGAACCGATTGAATTCAGGAGTATATTTCACTTACTTTCGACCGATATAAATCAACCATTCCACTCCAATAAACTAAATATGAGTTGGCTACTTCAATTATCACGTTAAGAGCCTGGTCAGCAAGATTAGATGAGGATTAAGTATCAAACGATATTAACTTGAACATTAACCTTTGATTGAATGCGTTCACTCCATGTTTTCCCGGAAAAAATCAATGAGGCGATTTATAATAATTTTACTGAATATATACGCATACAAACGATTATAATGTTAACCTAGCTTCTCTTTTAGCCACTGTGCAGGAATTCTGCTCTTTTAATTCACTGTGAAAGCGATAGATCATTGTTTTCAATTTTACGTGAAGTAATCATCTATAAGACCTTTCAACGTACATATTAGGCTAGTAGTTAGATCAATACGTACATATCATGATGTATTTGTCCATTGTTTAGTGAAGAGTAATAAAAGCAGTAAGTGGACTACCAGTCCTTCCCTTGATAAAAGATTCATTCAAAATTATTGGTATTTCGATAAAAATCTGGAACGGATATCTTGATGTCAACGTCAACCGTGTAGAAATTAAAGCTCGTCTGATTAATAATGCTGATTGAGGTCAAAATGTCGGGTATACTATGTTTTGATGTTAGGTGTTGTAAAACAATTAAAAAAGCTCTGGGGATAGTTTTCGTGTTAATTGCCACTAGTTAACGAGGATAGCCTGCATTGTCGTGAGAACTGATTCTACTATTGAGATTCAAACCACGTGCTACAGGTAGCATTAGTTTCCTTTACATTTCAGACATCTTACTAAAGAGTGATAACCAGTATGTGACTTGTATTCGGGTTTTTTTCCTAACTTTCTTAAATCACTGAATGACTAAATACTATTACAGTATATTGTTATTTGTGCAACTGTCTTCATCATTTGTAGAGCACAGTTAATTTATCAGTATTTTTCATATGAAATTATTTATAGCCTGAAACTTTCATCAGAAGAGCTATTAAATTTTAATGGTTATTTGTCAGACTTTCAAGAAATCAATTGTGAAATTTTAGCGATCTCCCCTGATTCCCTAGAATCTCATATCGCATGGTATTGCGCGCCAATTCAGAAGAATGGGCTTGATGAAAATGTCCACTTTCCATTATTGGAAGATAAAAACATGAGAATCTGCAAAGCATATGGAGTTTCTAACGAGGATAATGGAAGTGCTTTAATGTAAGTCTTTTTATAAGAATTTTCCATTGTAATGGAGTGGAGGAATTAGGACTAATAATCCTATGTAACATTGGTCATATTGTAAGCTTTGGAAAATTATTTAAGTTCAGTTACTATTCATCAATAGATAGGTACATTTTCGATAAAATTTATTTAAAACTAAGAAATACAAACTCGAGACTGGAAACTATTCAGCAATCGGTTTTAATTCTGCGGGAAATCGATCGCTTATAGATTAGTTAACCAATACTATCTTCGAATATGATATTAATAATGAAGAATGCCAGCTTCTTTAAGAAGGTAGAATCGCTCTGCTGACTAGGACTGAACAGCGTGAGGTCCACACTCGAAATGTAGTATTTGTTCTCTCCAATCACCTAGTCAATAATGTATTAACCCTCAGTTTAATGTTAACGAAATTCGTGTGATTATTAATTCCAATACTTACCGTAAAACTGAAAAAACGTCATTATATTCAGTCACAGCTAAACAAAGTGATATGCTGAAGTAGTAGGATGTATGTATCATAGCTCGCAGAAAGCTCAATATAGTCATCTTTCTATTTTTAGAGTATACCGGCTAAAACAAAGTGATATGCTGAAGTAGTAGGATGTATGTATCATAGCTCGCAGAAAGCTCAATATAGTCATCTTTCTATTTTTAGAGTATACCGGCTAAAGTTGAACGTAAACATCATGTTTTCATATTAGAGAACATTTATTCAGGTTCATTGAAACATAAATATAAACATTATTTTAGATGGCTGTTACTGTAGTGAAGAAAGGGTGAATGTTAATTCTTGTTGATATTGCAGATTTTGATAAAGCATATTGTTTACTTATTTGGAAAGTTAAATAAGTGGAGGGGAAGTTAAAAATGGGCTATTCCCGTTCTTTTTACGCTTTTGCTTAATTTGAACATTCATACAATATGTAAGTCTCCTAAACATTGGATATATCTCCAAGTATTGCCAATAATTTAAATAAACGTTTGATTTCATAATTCACCAAGTGGACAATAGATTTGGCGTTTAGAGAAAAAAGGTATTGGTTTCAAGTATAAGTGTGACCATCAGCGTCTAACTGAAGAGTCACAAACAAAAACAAATGTGCATTCCGGATTCTACTATCAGCCGCGATTGTTCTGTTCTATATAACGTGTAACATAATGGCTATACTTATACAATCTGTACAGCGTGCACATTCGTCAACAAATGTGTCAAATTCGGTCTTTTTTTACCAACAGTGAAATGATTCAAATCGTTCCTAGTAACGATATAGAAATTTTTGAGTTAGTTTTTATCTAGATCACTGAATACACAAACAGCATTTAAGCCAAAGTGATATACATTTCCCTTTTCCTTGAATTTATTGAAATAAATTATAATGAAAATACAGTAGATTGGTTACATTTTTCAGCTGGAGCTTCTTCGTGTATCAGATCAACTTTTTAGTATAATTCTAAATGGTATTCAAGTTACGCAACATAAGCGGTCACTATTTGGACACAGAAAGCTTTTTTACACAACTGATAACTACATCGAAGAGAAAAACACCAAGGTATACGCTGAGAGACAAGTTATCATGTTTATTAGCAAAAACAGATGTAAACGTATAATTTAATGGGATTATATAGGTCATTACGTAAAGGTTTTGAAAGAAATCGTGGTGCATTTCACCTTTATAATCATCATTTTAATTCATTAAAATAAAAAGTGATAGTAAGGACGAAGACTAGATTACAAATTCCGTAAGAAATATTATGACTGTTACCTGGATATGTCTTGATGATGGCTAGTAATGAGATGCATGATGAACATTCTGTCCCACTTGGGTCTTGTCACGGGGAATTACTTGTATCTCAGTGCCCATATTAGCAACAAGACTAGAATCTGATACCTATCGCTTCAAACCTCAATAAGATTATTTACGGAGTTACGGCTGTTCGAGAGACCAAATTATCGACTATAGCACAACGTTGATAAATGTCATACATGACTGGTCAGCATCAATTTTGTCAACGAATAAGAGCTAACATTAAACTTACTTTCAGGACTTCCTACTGACTAGCTCCAACCAATTAAAACTACTTTAAGGGATTGTATCAAACAGCATTCAGCTATGAATAAGTCTATTCTTCATAAATTATTTGAAATTAATTAATAAAAAATATTCTGTTTGACGTAGTAACTTGTGTTTATTATTAAGACTATAATTAATAATATTATCACCATTATTCATTTGGTACTGTTTACTTGAAGCTTTCCATTGATGCTTAAGACTGAAGTTGACCAGCCCCTTAATCGCATATATGCATACTGTCCGTATTGTTTCGATATTGCCTTAACTCACAGGCATTATAAGCAAAGAAGGATGTTGGCTAGTAGTGGAATGCGGGACGCGCGTTTCGTCCTATTCGGGATTCGTCAACTGAATCTCACAGTTAATGTTCACTCTGGGACTTGAACTCAGTACCGTTCTCTTCAAACGTCAATCCATTACTCACTCAGATCCTGATAGCCACTTGCTTGTGAGATGGGGTGAGGTTTAAATAACGCGATAGCATTTGAAGAGAACGGTACTGAGTACAATGCCTAGAGTGAACATTAACTCTGATATTCAGCTAACGAGTCCGAAATAGGACGAAAAGCGTGTCCTGGATCCCACTGTTAGCCACTATTCATCTTTGCTTATCACTATTATTATTATTATCATTATTAATATCATCAGAATCTCATTTGTACATAACTACTGTAGTAAAAGTTTTAAAGGAGGAGGATAAAAGATGTGTGTTATCGATCTAAGGTTGCCATGGGTAACGATGGGTGTATTTTACAGAAGTTTTTAATTAATTATGGACAGGTATATGACTGAATAGCAATACTGGTCATGATATATTTTGTCAATTACTAAGTAACATTTCATTTTATTCTATATATATATATATATATATATATATATATATATTCCAGTGCAAAATGATAACTTTTAGTAATTATAAAAGCAATTAAATCAATATTCATGCATCACCTTTTTCTCTTCCAAAGGCACTTAGATGTCAATTTTGCATATATTACTATAATGGCGAAACTACATATTTTACATTACAAAACAAAATTTCTGTAAAACATTAACCAAATTTAGAAACATCACACCTTAAGTCGCAACGTTTATTATATAGTTTTACAGGGGCATCAGATTATTTTTATTCCTTTTGTAAATAAACAAAATCGAACGAATTATTTCTGTTAACTATCATTAGATAGACTTGGTTGAGGCTTGGTGTATATCGAAAAATTTACACTCAAGAAATGATATATTTAGCGGAATGCGGTTGGCACTGTGTGATTTATTGGCTGAAATAGCTGGTTCGTGACAATTGTTGAAAGAGAGACTTGAACTCAAACTCCAATTTCAGTCAGCTGATGATTTACTGCTGTAGTGAATGAAAACACTTGTTGAGGACAATTGAATGTATTTAAGCAAAAATTACAGACTTTGTCACTAAATTCTGATAACCATACAATGAACAATTAATTTGAAAATTAACAACCAATTGTCTCAATCTTCACTGTTCCTTCTATAAATATCAGTTCATCTTCTCTAATTCCATTGTTCATGCATTTTCCCACCAATTGCGCTTCATTTCGATTCTTTCCTTGTCGGTCTTCTGCCAAAATACATTCTATGTCTGATCATCGCCATATACTACTTACATGGATATAAGTAGACCACACTACACTGCTATTAAGTTGAATTAAATCAATGTTAGTTCCACATTATACAAAATATATAACCTTCAGCCCCCTACATACCATGTTGTTTTCTGTTTAGCGAAATCTGAATTTTAACTACCATTCTTACAACAAATAATGTGAGGTGTTGGTAGCGTTTCCTCTCATTAACTAACTGTCGTTTTCCTTCATATGGCCACATATGTCTCTACTCTGTGAGTGTCATATTAAATCTGAGAAAGTTCCTCCTAAAAAGTAATCTCAATGATCAATTTGTTTCGAAAGAAAATAATTTATATACACTTAATCAATTTGATATAAATATATTTTCCGTCGTTGTAAGGTAAATCGAATTCAGTTTGTTGCCGAATTTTATAACATTTATGTTTGGTACAGCAATACCAACATCTGTATACGTCATTTCATTAGTTTCACAAATGTTGGTCAGTTTTATATGGTTAAGAGAAAAAAAACATTAATAGTCTTTCTTACAAATTACCATTTAGTTGTTGTTCATTGACGCTTACCTATTTTTGCTTGATATAGGAGCATTTTTGTAATCGATACAAACGGACTGATACGCGTTACTATATGTTTAGATAAAGGAATACACTTCTCTGTAAAGGATATACTACGAATGGTGAAAGAGTTACAAATGAAAGATAAGGAAGATGAGTCGGATATTTTAAAACACTCAGAAACAACAATAACAACGCCGCTACTTGATTAGTTAAGAAAAGCGTTGAGAAAGAAGTGTTATGTGTTATTGTATATCTGGTTAGTTTTCAATTATCAATGGTTTTTGTCCCTATATGATAATTCCTTCTGTTGAATCCTATGTAAATTCATGCTTACTGTGCAATTTCTAACTTGGTTTTTCTAGTTCTACTGTTACTTTTAAACCTTGATATGCTATGATTTATTCTGTCATTGCTTCGACTTCTTTGTTTGTATTTACTTTCCAATGATAATGCAAAACATAATTATAGTTTTATCCAACTGTATGATAATCCTTATAATTATGATATGATATATACTATTTCAGCGTGAGAAATATAACGATGCATATTTTCCATTCGTATTCTTTGAAATTTGATTTTCTAAAAGTTAAACGTTTATCGATGGCTTAACGATTAGCTTTTCATTTCAAACTACTTTAAGTAGTATAAGAAATATCAGAAAGTTATAGGCATTTATTAATTGTGATTGTTCATAAAAGATCATATTCGTTTGAGTTCGAAATTTGTTTATTATTATATCTGTGTTTGAAATCTTATACACAACATATTTTCGCCTGAGGCCGATGTACACTACGCATCACTTTAAGCATCTATAAATGTAGCAATTTATTCTGACATTTGGACTGAAGTGTAATCATTAAACTGGTAATAAAGGAAGCACATGACTATAAAATGGATTTATATCAACGCGAATAGAGGATAAGAATGCCGTATATCCAGTGTATAAAGCATTTACATTTGAACAAAAAATACTTGGGAAATATTATACGTAAACAGCTTACATTTTAATATTCACTACTAAACTAAGATACATTCTAATAGGATTTTTAGCAGTTTGGATTTCCCAGTTGTTAATATATTGACTAAACCTTGATCCATATTGGTTCCGTCTTGGCACTGAGTTTGAGTCCCGGAACGATCATTAACTCTGTGATGTAGGCACATCCAGCTGACGAGTCCCGAATAAAATGAGACGCACGTCCTGAATTTCACTGCTAGCAACAATCCATCTTTGCTTATAATGTCTGTGAATCAGGGCAATATCGAGGAAATTCGCACAGGATACACATATGCCGATTGGAGACTGATCAATTGAATTTCTAAGCATCAATAAAGAGATTCAAGCAAATAATACAAAAATGAACTAAGAACAATAACTATTTAGTCCCTGCTGAATTATTAAAACATTCGAATTAGAAGTATGACCAAACTATAGCCCATGGTGTTATTTCGACGATAAAAATTCTTAACAGACATAACAGTACAACATAATAAAAACAATTAGTTTTTAATTTACGATAGGAAACATTGAATTCATGCAAAATGTATGTCATAAATTACTATCATCATGTACTCATTAATTGATTAAAGCAAATTCACTCACCAACCATAATGAAGAGGTCTTTACCAATTGACTTGACGCAGACTAGCTGTCTGTGACTCCATACAATATCTTGATCATCCACTGACAACATTTTCTAAATTACTTTGTGTTAGTCAGTTAAGCGTGTATACGATTTATGTGTAAGTATAATAAATGTGCTAACGACCTCAGTTGATAAAAGCCTTTAGATTTAACAAGTGGATTGTTGTATCTTATTAGTACTCTACATCCAAACGTAACAATAATCAGTTAGTGTTTTTGTCAACATGATGCATCCTCAGTCTTGAGTGGACTTACTGTGAAACTTGTAAACACATTGCAGTTTGATCGGTAGAATTCGATTGATTGATTCGATTGATTTCTATACAATGATCAAACAATATAAATATCTCAGTCCAATCAAAGATCAATCAGACCTCAAACAGCTCGTTGATTATGTTCATGGTTGTGGCTCTAGGTGACTTATGTGTAAATAGCAGGTGAAATCAGATGTCTTTGATTAACGGAATCACCTTTCTGGAACATACTGCGAACGGCTTCCAATCACTTAAAATCAAGAATATTTCTAGTCCATTTGAGACTAGTTAAGACATATTGTACGCAACAGAATAATAAAACGATGATAATTTCTAATGATCGTAACTAGATTAATGAATGAACATATAAATGAATATAAATCTCATACGATATTTAGTCTTGTAAATTCTCTTATCATTTGTCTTCATGGAATTTCTTTACGTTCATAAACTTTATTTTATTTAAGTTTCATTATTTATCCGTCCTTTCCGTAAAGTGAAAATTAGTAGATTTTTACGCTTTACAACATGGGAACATTAAATAGTTTGTCTACTTTAATGATCGTAAGGATTCTATTTTCATACTACATTTAACTCAGTGTTTCCATCACTTGTAGATGTATTTTCCAACAAAACCATAAAAATGTTGATGAAAATTTCTCAAATATAGTTCTGTTCATAATTATACGATATATATACATTAATCATTTGTTTATGTAATTAAATGTAGCTCAATGATTGTAAAGGTATTAAAGACAGAAAAAAGGTGTTTATGTCAAAACCATGTGACTAAGATTGCTTTATTAAATGATTTTAAAGCTATTTAACATATAAGGTCGAGGTTCCTAGTATGATCTAGTTAAATGAAATTATGATGATTAAATTTTAAGCGATGACGTTAATAATTAATTAATGTAATGTAATTTTTAGTTTTGACTAGATAATGTATGTTGCAATATTCGTTTATCAAAAATCTGCAGCTAAATGTTGTTAAATTAAGAATGTTTATTCATTCAGTCTTTGTACGAAGAAACATTTACTCACAAAGATCTATTCTCTGCGTATTACAGATATTTAAGGATTCAATTTAATCACTCGCTACTGGCTTATTGTCTCCTTCAGCTGGTCCATCAATATTGTTTGCTGCTACAAATTGATTGTAGTTCGGGTCGAGAATAGAAATTAAATCCAGGACTCGTGTTTTGTACTATCTGGAATCGGTCAATTTGATTTAGTGTTATCATAGTACTAATGCTCATATGAACACTCAAACAATATAACAGTTCCTTCGAACGTTAGTATGTCACTCTTTAGATTACTGAGTCAATAAAGTAATCAACTAATTCAGTGTGTATAATGCTTGTTAGTGCTTACATGCGTTTGTTTACTGCTAAACTTGAAACATATCTATGCACTCAGTTCAATATTTCAATTGTCGAATACAAAATCAGGCAACTAAAACGATTTGTTAGTTCAAGCGATAATTTATTTGGATTTTATCAGTTTTCAAACTTCTATAGCTTCGATATTTTTGTAGTAAATAATTCCCAACTTTGGTTGCTTTGTAAATCGACTTTGAGCCAATTATCGGTACATTTCTGAGTTATATAATGTTTCTTTTGAAGTAAAAAAATTATATTTTGTGACGGCTAGAAGTCATCTCTTCATACTAAATAAATACTGATTTTTAGTATGATTAGCGTTGAATAACATAAGAGTAACCGATAATTACAATCAGGTTGAGCTTAATTGGAAAAAGAGCAAAGTGTGATGTCGTACATTTGTTTAATCTCGATCAATATTCACAGTAAATTAGAAAATGGTTTGGTAATGAAGTGAGTTTATAAGTTTGATGTGGTGCATTCTAAGATTTTAATACCACATAGTTAAAAAAGGCTACCTGTCAATTGAAAACGTAATAAAATTTATTCATATATTACTTAATACGTTTGTCGTCAGATCCAAATAACTCACGGAACGTTAGAAACACACTGCAGCGTTTAACTTTTACAAATAAAAGATAAATTTTATACACCTGCAGTTAATCATGGTTGATTTTAAACTAAGATAACGTTTATAACACGGATATTTCGGCAAAACTATGAGAATGTGCTTGAGTGATTCTTGAAATGACCGCACGATTTTGAAACCAATTTTTAGCCAATGAACAGATAGGTTTCACGAGTGAAAAGGATTTTCCAAACGAAATAAATAAACCTGTCAGACTTCAGTGGGTTTAAAAAGTTTATTGGTTTTTCAAGACTGAGAATAATCTCAGTCATCTAATCTAAATATTGTGAAAATATTACCATAAATTCTCATTAATCTAAATGTGAATTCATCAGCACTAAGGGTTTCTTTCTGAACCTCTCTCACAGCAAAAATGAGTTTTCTGGAAAATTTATCATTCCCTATAAAATCTTTATTAATCAATTCTCTGAAGAGTTACGGCGAATAGAATATAGAAAAATCATTATTTTCTTCATATTCTTATAAAAAAGTCATGCATTAAGATTGTAATCCACTTTAACATTCCTACTTTACTTGCTGGTCGTTTACTCACTGAATAACTCATTGACTGAAGTTTGATCATTCTCGGTCGGCACATGAGCATACTGTGAGGATTGCCACAATATACTCATTATGACACAATTTGATATGGAAATGCACTCCCTGGCTTCCACTGCCAGCCACATTCCATCTATTCCGAATAAACTTGTTTCATAATGGGTATATCGAGGCGATCCTCACAGGATATTTACATGCCAACCAAGACTGACCACATTTCAGTCAGAATATCAACAGCGAGGTAATCCAAGCTATTTCAAGTAAGTGGCTAACTGGATTCATTAACTTAGTGGATAACGCTATGGTGATTGAAGCAAATGGTATTGGATCTGCATCCCGGAGTGAACATCAACTCCGGGATGGAAGTACATTCAAATGACGAGTATCAAATAGGATGAAATGCACGTCCTGGATTCCACTACTAGACACTTCCCATTTATTCTTTAGCAACTTAGGTATATGAATACGTAATATTATCGTTTTTACATGGTTATGTTGAAGTGAATTCTTCCTAACAATTTTTTAGAGTAATTCATTTTTAAATTTCCTACAAAACTGGTAATAGTTTTCTCAGTTATTCTTGCTTCCGCCAAATTAATGGACTGTTACCAATATTTTGATTTTGAGTTATTTGTTTGAAAGAGATTTATTTAGGTTACACGTTTACGTAACATTTGTGAATTAAACAATCTTAAAACATTTGTGCCTAAATCTTCGAAATCTTCATTACAAAATTAAATTATAAACAAGACACTTCAAGTTGTATACAAATTTTCAAAAATCAAGGATATTTTAATAATTAGGTTGTAATCTAGTAAT